AAATCCTTAACCTTGTTGCATAGTTCAGGAATCTTATAATGTTGATCCCTGCAACAAATTCCTGATTGATGAAAAGGCGCTTCAACCAGTCACCATTTCTGTATTAAGTTTTCCACCACAGCTTCATGTGGAAAAAAAAATGTGGTTGCTGGGAACATATATACTCTTCAATTTCATTATGTTCATGGGTTGTCGAGCCGATTTATCACTCGATTCGCTAATTTTTGAAATACTTCTGAGATATAGGTGAGAATAGAAAATGCCATTCAAACTTAGCACAATCACGATCAAATTATTTTAAAAATAATATAAACTATTATAGTCATTCACAAGCAATTTATAATGTTTAAAAAATTCATACTCTCTCAAATTGTTTACTAAATCAGCAGCACCACCTTGTTCATAGACAAATATCGATGAACAAACTGGATCCTCTGGACAAGAATTCACAGTTGGTCGTTTTTTATCACCAACTAGTTTAACACATTCTTCGATCTCCACATTGCCTGCAAATGTGAGAGACAAAAGGGAAAACGGTAGGATAATAGCAAACATAATTTCAGTTCCGACTAACAATTTCATAAACGCATACTTTTATACAATCTTTTAATAATTGTTCTTAATGAGCGTTTGCACTTAACATTCAATGAATGAAGGAGGAAGAAAGCTGAAAAAACAAATGACATCAAACTTAACACCAAAAGCTATTCATACTGAAGACCGAATGCTTTTAAAAGAAATAAGCCAGAAATAAGCAATATGTATTTTATATATAATATATGTTTATGCATAATTTGTTCTCTATTACAATTATATAACATTCAACTATTATTTATATTTCCGGTATTTCCGGTGATTTCCAATAACGGAACCGTGGCTAATTCCTCACATAATTTATGGATTTCAATAGTGCATTTTATTATTATTGCAATAATATTAATAAAAATATAATAAAGTGTTAAATAATAATAATAGTGATAATTATTAAAATGGAAGGAATATTGTGCCAATACTACCAATCATGATTATTAAATAGCATTTCCAATAAGTTTACAGGCCTTTACGGTCAAATAAAGAAGACATGTGGTGGGAAAGAATTAGGGCTAGGCGATTTACTAGTACCACACGTTTGAGAGAAGTTAACTCTTCGCATTAATCGATTTCCAGAATTAGTGCACTAAAGGGAGAGCCTTAACTTTCCAAGTTATACTATTTCTCAAAAAACAGGTTGGGGTCGCAAAAACTGGAAATTTTGAATTCATCTGATCTATGAATTTATAATTCACTTATAGCCTACAATCAAAAATATTTAAGAAATCAATAGTTAAATTTGATAAAATTGCAAGATTTTAAACAAGATTTCACGGTTATGGTGTTTATTGTAATTCATTCCACCAGCAAGAAAATCACATCAATAAGATGCAAAGACGTAGTAGAAGATTTGAAAGTGAGTAAGAAGAATTACGCTTAGAGGGTGATTATTAGAGGTACGAAATTTAATGGTGTTCCACGGATATAGGTGGATTTCACGAAGCACTTTCAAGTTATGGTAAAATTTGAGCAAGTTTTGAGTATTATAAGGAATCCTCCGTTTCTGGGTAGTTTTTTCGATAGGAATCTAAGTACATACATCCACTATAAAATCATTATTTTCCTTAAGCATTCCTTTTTCAAAATTTCCAATTCATTCAAAATTTTAAACTTAAATTTAGATTTAAATTTAAATTTAAAATTTTAAAATTCAGTTTCCATCTTTCAATAAATAATATTTGTTCGTTGCATGAACTTAGGATTGCTTATAAGCATTAATTTCCTTTCATTCCAAAAAAAATTACAGATCAACAAACCTGATAACCTACTAAAAATTTTCGGTCTTCGATATTTGTCTTTTGTCTTTTAAGTTTGATATCATTTGTTTTATCAGCTTTCTTCCTCGTTCATTTTTTGAATTTTAAATGCAGACGTTTATTACGACAAATATTAAATGATTATATAAAAGTATATTCATGAAACTTGTTAATACGAACCTAAAATTATGTTCAACGTTATCCTACCGTTCTTCCTTCTACCTCTCGCATCTGCAGGCAATGCGGATATTGAAGAATGCGTTAAACTAGTTGGTGATAAAAGACGACCAATTGTGAATTCTTGTCCAGAGGATCCAGTTTGTTCATCGATATTCGTTTATGATCCAAATGGCCTTGCTGATGTTTTAGCAAACAACTTGAAGGAGTATGAATTTTTTAATCTTTGCTGATTACTCGTGAATGACTTCACTGATTTGTTATTTTTGTAATAATTTCTATAATAAATAGTCCTATTTACGCCTCTATCTCCTCAGAAGCGTTTCGTTTCAAATATGAGAGAACTGGTGAGACGAGTGATAAATCGATTCGATTTCCAACCCATGAACGAAATGAAACTGAAGATTATATTAATGTGCCCCCACCCTTCACATTTTTGTCCCAGATGAATACGTGATGAATTGGAGAAAACAGAGTAGAAATAGTGACTGGTGGTAAAAAAAAACGAAAAGAAGCGCCTTATCAATAATCTGTTATAGGAGTGAACATTATAAGATTCCCGAACTGTGCAATAAGATTAAGGATTTCGCAGCAAAAACATGCCCTAGAACATGTGCGATGTGTTGTAAAACGAAGGAATTTAACTGTCACGATGGTCAGTCATTTTTTATTATTTTTAACTTCAAAGAGAGCGAATCATAGGAATTCGATTTGTTTCCTTTCAGTCAGTCCCGATGCATGCCG